CCCCCCCCCCCCGGGAAGATTCCCCCCGGGGTATTGCTGCAAAAAATCAAAAGATCCCCCCTTTCTTTGGTACCCCGGGGTAGTGCCGTTTCACAAAAAAAAAACTCCCCAGGGTGCGGCAAAGCAGGTTCCGGTATGTGGGTTGTGTAGCAATAGCCCAGACTCTTAACTCTCGGTGTGTCATCGGGAGCTGCCATGGTTTGGGGCAATATCCTGCCTGGTCTGCGCCCCTGTAGCACCAGCCCACTGCCTCTTTAGTCGTGTAGGAGGTCGACAACAGCAACACCAACATCCTTGAATTTGACTCATACCAAGCACCAAACTTCTCTGCCGAGCGAATGGTCTGAAATATGTATGCACGTATCAGCGTTCGCCCACCCCTCCCAAGTTGTGGTCGGTATTTTGTTCTGTGCCAAATATTTAAATTCATGGGGAACGCTGTCACTCCTCCTCCCTCCCACAAAAAAGGAAGACAGCAAAAGAAGAATGACCGACAAAGCCTGTTCCGTTTTGTGGTGTGTCCCGTGGAATTGCACTACTGGCTGTCCGGTGGGGGGGGGGGGTTCCGACCGTTCAACCTGTCCACCCCTCTGACCACTCAACCGAAGTCGGTACGCCATGAATCGAATCTACCCTGTCAGTCCGCAAACGCCAGAGGGTCCGCAAACGCCGAAGGGTCCCTTGTTGCAGTAAAACACCCCCCCAAACCGTTCGGCATACGGTGTTAAGTTGCTGCTTTGCCCCGAACGTTGCAAACACCCCGCTGCGAAAAACTCTTATGCAGTCATCCGGTTGAAAAGAGTTCCCCATGCTCGCGATCGATCATGCAGAAGAGACTGGAAATCGTCAGTGGCCTGGTTGGTGGGCCGATGGATATCCGAACTTGGATGACCGTGGCGGTTTGGGTGATCGACGCAAACGGACGTGTAAACGAGTCGATGGTGCAACGTCTCCACATTTTGTACAAAAATGTGGAAGACCAACATCATCAGAACAGAACGGAAGAGATGCTGGGGAAGATTTTTAGGAAACAAGATGAGATGGGAAAGGACATTAAGGACATCGCGCAAGATTTGCGCTCGCTCAACCCCCAGGTGAGCGGATGAGGAAGTGGGAAATTGTCCATGTACATGTACCATATATTTGTGTGATACAGATCACCTTTATTTTTGGTGAAAGACCCGAACCCTTCGTGCACACATGCAAAGTGATGCTACATCTTTGACCGAACATAGGTGGGGTCCAGAGTCCATACATTTGTGTATGTGTGTGTATTTTTATTTATTTCGCCCCGAATTAGGTCCCAGGGTCATATAGATGGGGAGAGCTGTAGGGGCTAACTCCAAAATATACGGCGTGAACTTTCGCGCTTTCGTGCGATAGATCGGCTGCCATTTGCGAGCAGAGATCTAGAAGCCGACTTGTCACTGCTGCAACGCTCTAATATGACATGAGAAAGGACCGCAAGTGCATACCCAACCATACCCAACCGACAGTTTGGTGCTGCTTCGACTCTACAGCTCGCCGCTCATAAGCAGCCGCATCCCGTGAAACAGCGACAGCCGATCTGATGTGGTGTCTGAGAGTCCTCGTGCCCGGGACAGCAGCAATGGGTAGCCAGACGCCGTGCGGCGAGCTTTCTCGTAAAGTTGAGTTACAATGTTTTGGCCGGCAATACGGGGATTTTGAGGAGGGGGCTTTTTTCACGCCACCACGCCGAATACTATCTCTACTGGCCCAATCCACAAAAGGCTTTGACGGGAATGTAGCTGGTTTGTTATAGGGACAAATAAGCAACTTTGCTCGTGTTAATCTCGAACGGGCAGGCGTCGATTTTTTCATCGCGGGAGTGGTGTTTTGAACAGAGGCCAAAATGACCCGGAAAAATCAAGATTTGCTGGGACCTCCTCTGATTTCTCACAAACACTTCTAAGCAACTCCTCCATACAAATTTCAAGTGACGTGCCCCGTGGTTTGAAAAGCTCTTTGACCCCCCACCTACTATTTTCCCCTTTTGCCCCACCCTTTGAAAAAGCAAAAACACACATTCTTCCTGTGTCCCATAAGTAAAGTCCGTTATGGGCGGCAGATAGTACCTCGCCAATGGAGGTGCCCACGATGCTATAGTTAGGTTCGTTGAAAAGTTACTGACACGGAGATGCCCATGGGGAAAAAAAAACCCGAGTACAATTTATTGAAATATTGGGTCGAAATACCTCTTTTTTTTCGAATATTTTGGGGAGTCTTTGTAGAAATCCTGGAAAAAACGTTGATCGCCCCCTCCCAGCACAAACACGATGTGGAGGCCGTGAATACCCCCCCACGTTCCAGTGACACCAACGATTTTTCTTGTTTTTCCTTAGAATAGGGCGAAATATGACCTTTTGGGGGGCGACTGCTTTTTTTTCGGCCGCTCACCCTGCTGGGTGATGAATGACAAAAAAAAATGGGGACCCATCTCAAAAAACACCAAAGATGTAAAATAAACATCGCCCAGGGCATCGGACATGTTTAAAGGGTCCGTGTAATCATAACGGACGGTTACATATACTTCGAAGTATAATTATACAATATCCCCCTTCGGAGTGTGGGATCTGCACAGATGCAGGGTTGATTCAAGACGAAAGCAAACAGAAACGCATGTGGTAGCAGTAAATCACCCGCCGTTGCCCCCTGCGTTGGGAACGCGATAGTACCTAGGTACAACTTCGAACAATTTTGAAGTTAAATGTTTTCTTCGACCTCAAAAGAAAAACGAAAACAAAGCTTGTTCGCTTTTTCCTGAGAAACCCAACCGTACGATTTCGAAAAATATGCTATATATATGTATGTGTGTTATTTCGCTAGACATATCCAACTCGGAAGCACTCGAAGGCCATTGTTGACAACAGGACACTAGATTTGGCCATCGAGTTCGTACAACTTGGAGGTTCATTACGGACGCTACGATTGATTTTGGGTTTGTGTCTGGATCTATCTGCAATTGTCGGAGGGCAAACGAAATAATAATAATATGTTTTGCCCATGGCATCACCGCCAGGGCAATTAAAATCATCATTGCTCATGAGAGTCTGGTCAATATAAATACTGCATTTGTGAAAGTTGGGTACATGTGCGCTCGTGACATGTACTTCAGGCCACAAGCCTGAACCACCTTGTGTGATGTGTCGTTTGCCATAGATTGCCGAGGTCTTGACGGAGGTGAACGCGATGCGAATCCATCAAAAGGAAGGCATATGCCCCCAAGGTTTCATCCTGATCCCTACCGACAAGAGCACCTGGCCGTTGGTGAAGAAGTTGGACAGCTTCAACCTGTATGCTCAGGATGTCCAGCTGTTCTTCGTGTGCCGCATGTTCTTCGAGGAGCTGGAGGCTGCCGTGGATGTCGCGGACGCGATGTACGAACACGAGTTTTCGGACCCTATGAGCCTTGAGCTTCCGAAAGTGAGAACGCAATATGTTTCTCGTCCAACGTCATTTTGCTTTTTGGCAGGCTAGATATTCTGGTCGGCAGCAGTGGGGGTTGTAATTTTTTAGGTGCTAGATTTGGCAAGGACGGGTGGATGGCCGCTCCTGTGTGGCGTTTGCGACATCAAACAGATTGATTTTCGTGCG